ATGTGCACATGCTAGAAATTGAGGCAGGGCCTCACAGATTAGGCAAGTGCTTTACCACTGAGCCAAATCCCCAGCCTCTTCATCACCTGATTTAAAGGTCTAGAATCTTAGCAATACTACTAAAGCTACTTGAATTTCCCCCTAATTCCAACTTTACCTCTCTACTTCTCTTACTAAGGTATCCTGAATTTTTCTTGTTCCATATATATATTTTTTTTAAAGAGAGAGAGAGGGGAGAGAGAGAGAGAGAGAGAGAGAGAGAGAGAGAGAGAGAAATGGGACAAAGAAAAGAAAGAAAGAAATTAAAACTCCAAGATGACTAAAATAGAAAAAAAAATTCTACAAAACTATGCTTGGGAGTATGGAATAATACTTGAACTATTACTAATTCTGGTAGAAGTGCAAATTAAAAGGCAACTTATAAAATGTTTGGGCATTATGTATTAAAGTTGAATAAGTGTGATGACCTAACAGTTCTGCAATTTTATTTCTAGTTTTATATCCATGACAAAAGCATATTTATTTTAGGACATTGATTACTGTCCTAAAATAAATTAACTTCCCCTCTCTGATTTCCTTTTTTAAAAAAAGCATATTTATATGCACAAAATGTATATAAGAATTTTCATAAAAGCCCAATAGTCAAAATCTATACAATGCAATCATATTTGGTGATGATAGAATTTATAAATAAATTGAGTATATCAATAAAATGGAAAGCTCTTGTTCAATGAAGATAAACTATTACTGTATACAATAACATGGAAAAACCTTGCATTTATCACTTTTTTCCCCAAGAGATGATGCATATGTTTATTTTTTGAAAAGGACACAAATCTATGCTATAATTAAAGTTCACCCAAATGTTTTGAGAACAGTTCTGGGATGGGGTCAAGGGCAGAGAGTGATAAGAAAGAGGCTGTATTAGTCACCCAAGCCCCAGATCATGCTGGACCCAACCTGGTAGGTCAGCTACACATGCTTTGAATAAAAGTGAATGAATTCACTGATAGGTTAGGTGGGATGTGAGAGAAAGGTACAACTCACATTTCACTTTGAGGACCTGGAAGAAAAAAAAAGAAGAAGAAGTTGCTATCAAATGAGAAGGAAAAGGCTTCAGGTAGATAAGGTATTGAGGAGTAAAATTAGAAACTCAATTTTGTAGCTGTTGTGTTTATTATGTAAGACATCCAAGTAGAGCTGTTGAATACAAAATTGCAAATAAAAATCTGAAGTCGGGTGCGGTAGCTCACTTCTGTATTCCCATTGGCTTGGCAGGCTGAGACAGGAGAATTGCAAGTTCAAAGCCAGCCTCAGCAAAAACAAGACACTAAGCAAGTGAGACCTTGTCTCTAAATAAAATACAAAATAGAGGTGGGGGTGTGACTCAGTGGTTGAATGCCCTGAGTTCAATCCATGGTACCAAAAAATATATATATAAAAATCTGAATTTCCCACAACAGCAGATATATAGAGATAACTAAATAAGTGGGAGATCAAGTAATCCATATAGGATAATATGGGACAAGTAAATTCAACAATATGATGTTATTTGTGTCTTGATAACACCACTGGTAGAGAGCTGAATGAAAAATACTAAAATTCAGGAAAAAGAGAATGGATATATTATTCAGAAGTAATAAGATGTCTAATTCACTAACAAAACGTGCAAAAGAAGGTAGATACAAAAGATTATGTTCTCTATAGCTCCATGCATCTAAAAAAAATCAAAATGCAGCTAACCTGTCATGTTAAAAGTCAGGCAAATTAACCATTTGGACTTGTTTCTGCAGGGAGACATGGAGGAGATCTCTGATGTGCTGGAAAAGTCATAGTCTGGTTATTATTTTCATGAGTGTGTCCAATTTTTGAAAAATCATCAAGATATACTTGCAATATGTGCATTTTTCCCCTTTTAAATCAAGAAGATGTGTGGAGAAGTGGAGACAGAAATATATTAAGTTCTTTTAAAGACTTTGTGAATTAAAATAAAAATGAATGGTGATAGTTGGCAGGGAAATGAAGCCCAGTTTAATTTATTGCTTTTTGTTTCTTTGTTTGTTTTGGTGGGAGAAATAAGATGTTTCTCTATGACCAAAATGATTCAGGATTGTGATGTAGAGGGAAAAAAAAGTTGGAGTGATTCTCTTACCTTCTAAAGGTAAGAGAAAGAAATCTAGCTAAGGGGAGAGGGTGGCTTTGTAAGGGAGGCTATAAAGCCCATCGATGGTAATAAGAGAGAAGGTGATTTTTAATGATAGAAACGTGTGAAGTATTTTCCTTAAAAGGCTTTAATTTTCCCAGTTGCATAAAGAGCTGCATCAGCAGCAGGACTGAGGTTGGGCAGGAGGTGATGAAGAGAAAGGATCAATGGGCAGCTAAGACAGGGTAGAGCAACAGGATGTGATATGAAGTGCAATCACCAGACAGTGTTGAAGTCCCTTCCGAGGTTGTCAGTTTAAAAGCAGGACGAAGCAGCACAGCAATTTGTTTTTCTCCAGCCATTGAGCTTCAGAGATGGGGATGGGGGAAAGTGGTGAGTAGGATTTTAACTGTCTACTGACTTTGCCACGAAAGGGAAGGAAGTTGGCAAAGGCAGCAGAGGGGAGGGCATACCCAGGGATGTTTATCATGCTCAAGCTGCAGAGGTGAAGACAAGGGAAGAGAGCAGTGCGGAGGATCAGGGTGAACCCACTGGAAGTCCAAGAGGGACTGACAAATGTGTGAAATCAGATTTTTAATTGTATGTTACAAATATGCACATTACATTAAAAAAAATCATTGCTGTTTTATCCAATGGTATTAAGTATGATTACTCAAGTGCTTCTTTTTGCAGTCTAAACTGAATCTCTCTTCTTCCTAAAGCATCTTTTTAGAACTTTTTTTTTTTTTAAATGAGAGTCTCCTGGTAGTAAACTCTCAGGTTTTATTTATTTGAAAATGTCTTGATTTTGTTCTTATTCTTGAAAAATATTTTTTGCTGGAAATTCAAGTTGACAGTTGTTTCCTCTCAGCTCTTTGGAGACCATCTTCCTCTGTCTTCTGACTTCCAGAATGGCTATTGATGAACGATTCTTCATTCTAATTGTGATTCCTTTAGAGGTGGTTTTTCTTTTCTTTCAGGTGTGGTGTTTTGTTGTTGTTGTTGTTTGTTTGTTTGTTTTATTATCTACCAGTTTTCCTTGGCGTTCTGTAAATTTGCCAGCATGTGTCTAAATGTGGATTCATTTTAATGTATTCAACGTTGAATTTGTTGGTCAATCTGAATTTGAAGATTGTTGCTTTTAATTGTATTCTCTGAGGATAAAAAGATGTGATTGACTCTTTCTTTAAAAAAGAAAAAAAAAGTGAGGAGAGGGGAAAGGAGAGAATCCATAACTTATGGAGGTAGCTAGTTATATCAGTAAGACTCAAAAGCATTCCAAACCCACAGCACACAGCTGTCATCATGATTGCCCAAAATATCTGTTCCTGCAGCTTGTCAGTCTATCACACATATGTGAGTGAACATGAAAATTCTGCGTACACTTGTGACTCATGGAACGCAAGATTTGTTTATGTCCCATCCTTTGTATCCCTGTCTTCCCAGAATCAGTCCCCCTTCGTCCTTTCCCTGACACTATTGTTCTCAATTATTCCTGAAAGGATGGACTATCTCAGGTAAGGATAGTTTGAGCTTCAGCTACCATGTTTCATAAATTAGCTTTCCAGCACTTATATTTTAAGCCTTTTTCTCCATAGGGAATTAAAAATGTGCCACCAGCAAAGGGAATTTCAGTCATAGTCCAATATTTAAGGAGTGCTGGGAGTAGACAGAAGAATAAGCACACTGTAGTGGTGTGCAAAGGAATTCCCTGAACCCCCCCCCCATAAGTTGGGTGTGCCATCCACCATACACATACACATGTAACACAAGGTGGCTCCTGCTTAATCTTTTTAGAATGGACTGAGAATAGGAAATATTTTAACGCGTCGTCCATGATCTCTCTTGGTTTTGTTTTTCACTGGTTCTCAAAATGATGAGTAGGAGAATGTTTGAGGTTTTCCTCCTGGATCACATTATTAGAGAGCTGTTAAGGTTGCAGGCGTGATTCTTGATTTCCTGAATCGGCCAAACCCAGACTGCCCTGGGTCACATACATCAGGATGCCTTTCTTCAGAGCCTCCGGAAATCTCCATTCTTTTTCTGTTTCTCATTAAATCTTATGTGTAAATTTTGTTACATTTTAGAATCCATACTTTTATAAAATTGTTGATTTTTATATTATGGTTCTATTCATGCATTATAATAGCCCAATATTTTATTTCAATTGTTCAGAACTATCTGAAAGTAAACACAAAAATAAAATAGCCTAAGCTTTTCACGTAATTTCTGGATTGACAAAGTATAAGAGAGTTGCTAGCAACATGGATTGTGGAAGCAAAAAGACCCGTATTCAATACTGATTTCATCCTTTACTTTCTCAAGTTTCCTTATCTATAAAATGAGAATGATCACCTGGAGCACTTACCATAAAGATAATGAAGCTTATATTATGCGACATTTCCATAAGGATTTGTTTCTCTAAAACTTTGTACAAGTAGATATTTTTTCTACTCTTTTTATTAATCCCCCACCCCAAATTTAATAACGTTATATCCTTCCCACAAACCCTTTCCTTCCATGATGGTAACAATAAATATCTGTGAAGATAATTAAATAGGGTAAAACTTTTTCTGTCCTCTCTTATCTTTTTCCCTTTGCCAACTAACCTCTTCTTCTTTTTCGTATTTCAACTTAATACCACTTCCTCATAGGAGTTTTCCAGACCCCACCTCCACCCCAGGCAGGGAGTGGGATTGGATGTTATCAAGTACAATGCACTTCCACTCCCTGGAATTTATCAAATTAACTATTTCTATAATTGGTTACTTTCACATGTGTCCTCTTCTAGAGTAGAAGTTCTATGAAAGCTCTTTGCATCTATTCTGTTTGCTACTGTATTCCTGATGCTTATGATTAAGTTGCTATTGATGGATTGGTAATCAATGAGTTAATGTCTACACTTAATATCTACATTTAATATCTACTCTTAGTAACTTCTATTTTTTTAATTAATGCACAACCTCTCCATTAACATACATGTCAATTTGTAACTTAAAATAAAAAAATTTTATGTAAAAAGCATTTTTAAACAATTGAGAGAATTTATTTTATGTAATACTTAAGAAAATCACAGTGGCCTCAGATGAAAGTCTATGTATAGGGGTGAAGACAAATTTATGAATCATCACCATTTAATTCACTCCTGGATTTCATTTTCATTAATGGCTGTGGAATTCTTTTTTAGAACTACAGATAGATGTTACCACATAATTCATCTCACCAAAAAAGGTCAAAGTTCAATAATTAGATAATCAACTCAATTGTTAGCATGTACCTACTGGGAATAGTAGTGAGTGGGAGAAAAAAAAAATACCCTTTGAACTCAAGCTTTGGAGTCAGAATTGGGTTCAAGGTCACACTCAGCCACCTGTTGGTTGTTGGGGGAAAGTTCCGTAACTCCTCTGACTTGGAGTTTCCTCATAAAATTGTGACAGCATTCACCTCTCAATGCTTTGATGAACATCCTCTGAGTTGGTGGATTGAAAACTTACCACACTACTTGGCATAAAGTGTTCAGTAATTGGTAGTTACTTTTATCTTAAAACTTCTTATAAATCAGTAGCAATGAAAAATTCCAATTAACCTAAGCTATTTAGCAGTGACAAATAGATAGCACCTTTGTTTTACTGCAAAGAGAAAAAACTCTGTTTACAAGTTCAACCAATTATTTTAAGCACATTTTTCCCCTGGGGTTTATACAAAGATACGACTAGTTTGCACAACTCTTATACTATACAAAAAGCTGAACTTCACATCAAAACACGACTTTGAGTCACTACTCTAGTTTGGAAAAGGAGGAGGAGAAGGAGGAAGAAGAGAAATAGAAATAATATGGGCCAGGAACATAAGCCATAATAATTGTCAGAAACAGAGTGTAAATCCTTAGATATCCTTTTTGACATAGTAACAGCATGATGTCAGAGCTTTGTCAAAAATAAGGATGCACATATTTTTTCCCTTAGGATGATTCAAAAACACTGGGCTGCACCTCCTGGTCTAAGAAAATGCTGCTGACGATATTCCAATCATCTTATGGGCAATGTGGAATGCTATGTCCTGAGAAAATAGAGAGCTTCTCATGAGAATGTTTGAAATGTCACTCGGGTTCACTTTAGATCAGAGTGCAGGTGGCCCTACAAAGCCTTCACTAGAGGCTGTGTGTTTATACAGTTGCTGCTTCTAGGATGGTGTTGATTGGTTAGGCAACTAATAAAACAAGCAGCCTGGCTTTCATCTATGAGCATCCTGTGCCTTCATAAAGATAGAAAAGTGGTTTTAATTAAGACTTGCTGCCTTCACGTATTTTATCTTTCATTCTTTTTTTCCTCCTTGACCATTCCAATGCACATCCTTCTTGTGTTCTGAATCTCTCTCCCTGATCCTGGCTCCAAGCCGCCAGATGCTTTATAAGGCAAACAATCCTGAGGAGGATATTTCTGCTGGATCCTCAATCAGAAAAAAAACCCTAAACATTAGTGGAACCAATCCGTGTTAGCATCACCATTTTATTCATTTCCTTTTAGGTACTTTACTTGTATTTTGAAACTGTATATCAAAGTGTCTCACTTTAAAATGAACTGAAATTTATCATGGAGTCTTATGAAAAAAATATTCAGTGTACAGTGTTCCACAGCTTATATGATAGCTCTTGAAAACACAGAAGCACATTGTGTTCTGAAGTAACACACACAATACACAAAGAACCTCTCAAACATATAATTTTGTATTTTTGAATTGTTTTCCCTTATTTTCTGTAGGTTCTGTTCTTGATTTATATTTTCATATTTCTTATCACATTGTTCTGTTAGCTTTCTGACTCGATATTTATCTTCTTTTAAACTGTCTAAAATATGACTTTTATTTGATAAAGAATGTCCAAGGAAAATTAAACACAATCAAAAAATATAATTCGGAGACTATCAGTAGACTCTTGTCAACCCTATAGATTATGCGTGAAAGGTAAAGTGATTTTGTTTCTCTAAAGAAACTAAAAAATAAGAAAATGGGGTAAAGATTAAAATCTGACCACATAAAAAAGCTAAAAAATAAGAAAATGGGGTAAAGATTAAAATCTGACCACATAAATTAGCATATAAACTGGAAACTAAAGCGTTCCCAAAGAGGGATAAAAAATGTGCAAGTGCTAGTTTGAATCAAATAATGGTAAGCATGTAGGTAAGAAGACAAATTATCACATAATCACTTTATCTTTTGGCTCAAATAAGGCAATTCTTTCATTATAATTGATTTAAAGTTTCTCGAAGATCTACAGCAAAAGACAAGAATTCATTTTAACTGAACTTAAGCTGTTTTTGAAATATGAAGGCTGATATTGAAAACGTTTCTATAGAATGTGATTTAATTAATTTGAATGAGCACTTCTGAAAGAATTCATGGATGATCCAAATCCTGGGGCAGCAGGCAGCAAGGACAACATGGTGGTTCTCACCTGGTGGTCTCTGGACAGCAGCGTGAATTGCACCTGAGCAGGCTCAAACCCAGACTGCATGGAGATTCAGGGTGGGGCCCCGAACTGTGTGCTAACACACTCTCCAGGTGGTGCTCTAGAGCCAGAAGGACACATTTCCACATTGTTCCCAGTTAGCAGAGTACCTTTGGTCAAGTCATTTTTAACTTACTATTCTTTTACAAGATAGGGCAAAAATGTCACCTCATATATTGTGAAAATTAACTGAATTATTATGTAAAGAGAACCTAGGCCACTTTTTGATACAAAGGGAGCACTCAATAAATAGTGTCAATTGATATTTATTTGAAGGTAAGTTTCATTGAAACTAAATTATATAGGTGGGCCCAGTGGCCTACACCTGTAATCCCAGCTACTGGGGAGGCTGATGCAGGAGGATCCCAAGTTTAAGGACAGGCTGGACAATTTGGAGAGATCCTGTTTCAAAATAAAATACAATGGGCTGGGGACACTACTCAATAGTAAAGAACCCCTGGTTTAATCAGAGTACCACAAAGAAAGAAGGAAAGAAAAACCAGGAGGGACTAAGTGAGTTGGTCAGAGTTATGTAGCTGGTGTCCCATAAGAAATAACCTCCCTGGGCTGGGGATGTGGCTCAAGCGGTAGCGCACTCGCCTGGCATGCGTGCGTCCCGGGTTCGATCCTCAGCACCACATACCAACAAAGATGTTGTGTCCGCCGAGAACTAGAAAATAAATAATAAAAA